GTTGATTCAATGTGAAAGTTACAAGGTTCAACTGAGTTTTGTTAAATTAATGTTAATAACAAATTTGTGATTTACAGATTATTCACAGCAGTTTAAGCTCAATAACTACTCTAACATTTTAATCTAAATGTTACGTTCTCTATAGTAAAAATTTTTGTAACAGTTGTAAAAATATAGAATTCATTGAAACTAAGACATTTAAAAGTTAACATTTTCCTCATCAGAAAAAAGTATTTCACATAGATATTTACCCCTCTAGAAAACAGATAGCTAATATATTGCACCACTGCCAAAACGTTTTTGCCCCTGCACCAAGTCTTTGAAGGAAACTTCCACCCCTAAACATAACATGTACTATGCTTGTCTATGATGTAACTAGCATTAAACTATAACTCTCCTCCAATACAGAAGTAGGGGGGGAGTCCCGTGATAAGAAAAAATTTGACTAGAAACATGCTAGTCACCTCTCCATGGAGCAGATAGCTGGAATCCCTCATGAAGGGTCAGAAAACCATTTACAGAGTCCACCAAAAGAAGTGCAAGTATTTAAACTTCAACCATCGACAACAAGATTTATTGGTATAATTTGTGTCTTTATTTATAAAACTTTAACTCAATAAGATTTCTTGTAACCATTAAGTATAAAAAATATTGTCCAGTAGGTGTCCACCATTAACTGCAACACACTGGCATGCTCTGACAATGACACCTTCCATGGTAGAGGTCAAAGTTTCATGCAATAGGCTGTTAATTTCTGTCTTTATGTTATCTTTCAACCTGTAGTGTCCATGTCTTATTGACGTACACTCTTTCCTTTAAGTAATCTCACAAAAAGAAGTTTGCTTCTGACAAATCTGGGGATCATGGAAGCCAGTTTATATCTCCATTACCAGAAATTACCCTGTTTGAGAATAGTTCACACTACACTGTCATTGTTGCTCATGCTGTATGACTGGTGGCTCCATCTTGTTGAAACTACAATTCCCATTGATGACATATTCAGAGAGAGCAACATTAACACCAAGTTCTCAATGGTATGCTCTTTGAGCAGCAATGATGGAACATTCATTTTTGAAATAAAGCTCAACAACAAGAGAATGCTGTTGGACTGTCCACCTGTTCATCACCTGGATCTTCAGATAGTAGCATGGAAAGGTGAAGGATGGGACCTACACTAATAATGGAGGTTGAGCTTAGTATAGTAATACCTTAACATCTTGGTATTTATATCCAAATATCATACTGGGGGCTGGAATTCTAATTTCTAGAGCAGTTTTGCTGTCTCCCCATTGCTTTATTTTATTCTAATTATTACCTTTCTTACTATTGTTTCTATTTTATTTTATTTATTTACTTTTGTGAGCAACCACTTTTCCACTTCTGGCTACAGACAGCAAAAGGTGGTAAAAATGTAAGATGTTGTGTGTTAGAGCATCCACATCTGCTCCTTTTCTTTTTTCTTCTAAGCATGTAAGGCCAGTGAAGTTGAGGTTACTCTGGTGTACCCCCCAACACAATCTGGGTCTTATTTCTGCTGGTACCTCAAAAAAATGAGGGCACATTACATAATGACCAACCCAATGATTTGTGCCCCACTGTTGAATGTTTGTTTTGTGGCTGCATTTTTTTGTTTATTTATTTACTTCATTATTTAATATTTTCGTTTTTCTATTCTATAAAATTAAATTTAGATATATATACTACTGAAGCAGTCTTGGAAAAAAACAAACATCTAAACGTGCAAACTGTGCACAGACTGATGGGCTTAACACCTTCTGCTATCCTATACTTGATACAAATTTTGGGAGAGAGAACTGTTATGCTCCCTGTGAAGCAAAACTTGCCACATGGTGGATTCCACAATCTCCAGTATTGTTGACCAAGAAGTGTAAGTTGACTTTTTTTGTAATTGTTACTAAGGTCAGTCACACAGCAAGAACAGGGAATTGGGGGCATTTCAAAAGGGAGCCATGCATGTCATGCAACACCAGATCACCTGAACAGGAAACAAAAGATAACCAGTGTCTGAGCAATCATTGTGGGCAGAAAACAATGGCAGATAAATGGAAGAAAATGACCCATCACCTTCAAAAACTGCCCTAAGTGTAGAGAAAGAAAGAGCAGTCAGGGAAAAAAAAAGGTGTAAGACTTGTGGAACAGAGTACGGGAGGCATATACGGCATAAACAAAAGAGCAATAATAACCTCAAGCCAGAAGAAGAAGGAAAGAGGCCTTCAAAGAAAGGTGAGAGAAGGAACAAGTGGTCAAGGTCTCAAATGGGGACTGAGTGCAAGTGTAAAGAACCACAAGGTCCCAGTCAGGCAAGTGAATCAGAATAGGAGAAAGAAGAAGGAAGGACCAAAACAAAGTAGTACAACAGGGGAAGAAAATACAGAACCACAGCCAAAAAAAGGCAGAAGGTGGCTGATATCCCACCATGTTGGGATATGGTTGCAGAAGAGGTTTACCAAGTAGAAGAAAAAAGTAGCCAAATGTTATGAAAGATATAGAAACAAAGGCCAAGACTGTACATGTGATGAGCAAAAGCCCTCATTATCTGGCTAAGAACATAAGAAGTAAAATCCATCTTAAAGGATAGAGCTCAAAACTGGTATATATTGTGGTGGGCAAACCAAAGGAAACATCACCATGATGATATTATTAGTGTATGAAAAAAAGTCATCCAAGACATGAACTGTCTTCATCTAAAGACAAGAGTAAATCAACCAATTAAGAGGAAGAAACCCCTTCTTCAGAAGTTGTTCAGACACAAAGTATGAAGAGATGTCAGTTTCCAGAATTCATGGGGATAAAGATGGGATGAGAATAGTAATCCAGAGAGAGAGAAGCAAGTGATTGACTCTCTTTATGGCATTCACAGTCAAAAGCTCCAACAGTGTCCTCAAAATGGTGGAGATACTAAGAATTAGAAGGTGAATGAAAAACAACAAGGAAAGGGGAAAGAGAAGGAAAAAACAAGAAGAGTGAGTGAGTGAGACAAAACCCAAGTGTCACAATGGTTAGCCATGAAGTAAATTCACAGGCTAGCAAAGAAGAGAACAAATGCCCCAGGACCTGAGGGTGAAAGACAGAGAAAAAGTGTCATATCTATATAAATCTCAACAACACAGAAACCACGTGAGGAGAGAAGACCCAGGCCTAAGTAATGAAAAAGACTGACCAGAAATATCCCAGAAAAACTACCTAGATCCCAGATAAGAGAGCCTCAGATAGGAGATAAAAGTAAACAGAAAGGAGAAGGCAAAGACGGGAGAAGTGAGCTCATGGTAAGGGATATTGGAGACAGAGGATCAACTCCCAAACAGGCAGAAGGGATTCCAGGTATTGAGGATCCAAGAAAGCAGAAGGAAAATGACTATAATGCATGTTAAAGGAATAAATGAAGAGGGCAAGGTAGGGGAGAGTAGGAATGATGCTGAAACAAGATATCAACATAGAGAATAAAGTCAGGTGAAAGGGAAAAGAATAAACTACAGCTTCAAAGCATGGAATAAAGATGGTGAAGAAACATAGGTTCCAGGAGAGAGACAAAGCATGGAACAAACCTGACAAAGACAGCAGAGTGAGAGAGAGAGGAATGACACATTCCTAAACAGTATATGATAAGACCAGAACAAAACCAGGTAGTGAAAACAGCTAGACCAAAATGCCAATGTTATAGTTAGGCTCATGAAAGAAAATGCACAGGAGAGAGGAGAACTGAAAAGGAAGACAAAATCCACAACTAGCAAAAATTGGTAGTGACATCTTCTACAGACAAAGAACCTCCAACTGTGAGAAGTCACTAGACATTATCTTGTATGGTATCTCAAGTTCTGAAAACAATCATAGTTTCATTCCAGATGAAACTTTGCCTTCATGAGCAGAACTACAACCTCAGGTGGAAGAAACCACAGAAATGTGATAGTTCTAAATGTAGAAATGCTCAGAAATGATTTTTCTTTCAGTTGGACCAGCATTAATAAATCATTTACTTGTACTGATAAACAACAAAATAGATGACCATCAAAAGTGACCAAGAAAATGAGCTACTATGTGAGACAAAACTTGCCTGTCTTGCAAAGGACCAAAAAAAAGCCATGTATGAATATGAAGGCATGGCACATTGTGGTGTAAGATGGGTATCAAACCTGATATAAAAAGGATTTTCAACATGGAAGAGACAGAGGCTTCAGGATCACAAAGTGGTAAAGGAGTGGAAACCAAAATGGAGTTGGTCAAAGAGGAGAAATGAGAAGAACCCAGCAAGGAGTATTTGATATAAGGACAACACACTGGCAAGTAGTCACAGAGGAGGATAAGACTACAGATAGAGAGTGGAGCAATCCTGATTCAGAGAGACTACCAACAGGGACACAGAGTCTGGGACTGGTGACCAAAAAGATGAAAGACTGGTATAGAGAGAAGTGCAATAATAAAGATTTCCAAAATAGGAACATTCCACAAAAACACTATGGCATGTCAGACCCACTCTGACAGAAGAATCCAGTTCTAGCCAGACACCCAATCTGCCACTAAATTTAAAGCTACATCAATAGGACTGATAACTGGCTGCTGTTGTCACAAGCTCAAAAGATTAGCTTGAGAACAACAAAGCAAAGTTCCTGAGCATGAGTACCTTCCTATTAGTTAGCACAAGAAAAAACAGTGGAGTAAATGGAATATATCATAACAGGATGTATTGATAGCTGTAACATTAGATAGTAGCATTTCCATTGAAGTGTCAACATCTTGAGGACATATCTGTGTCCTCAAAACTGCTCTTCAAAAGACTAAACACCAAAGTGCACACATTATTACATATAAGGGTAGAAATTTTGTTTAAAGGTTTGTAGTATGCACAAAAACTTTGGCAGTGGCTTGAGGTATTATTATCTATTTTGTGGAGAGGTGAGTAGTATGTTCAGAAATAAAATTTATAAAATAACCTACATGCTCATTCACCGACATATGATATGATAAACAATGTAGAAACTCACCTCAACAATTAATGTTTATCAGTTTTCAAAACTGAAACTCACTTCCTTCTTTGATAGCTAGATGTTCTTGAACTTCACTACTAGAGAGTCCTATGTTATTAACCTCACTTAAAAAACTTCTTTCAGATGAAAATAGTCTCTCATCTCCAAAATGACATTCACAAGGACATGTCTTCACTGAAACAAGACTATCAGATGTATAACCACTTGTAGCAGCTTCAGTTTCTGTAGTTGATGATGGACTATGTCTCAAATAACCGAAGATGTGGTTGTGATCACAGCCACAAGAAGAGCAATCACATGGACAGAATAAGCTGGTTTTTAATTGCATATTTTTCTCACATCTTGAGGTTGTATCATTCTCACCTGCGTAAAATTGAATTGAAGAATCATCACACCTAATTGTTTTTGATTCTGATGATGCACTTTCAATGTTTTCAAGATTTTCCACATCAGAAAATGCAGCATCACTGAATTTTCTCTGAATATTATTACCCATTTGAGGCTCAGAAGCCATCCATGCATCCTCAGAAGCTGATGTGTTTTTTTCTGCATCATACAATACTGTTCTCATAGTCAGTTCACAGTCAGCTTTCTGAATACTGAAACTATCAGGTTTCTGAGAAATGACATTATATAAATACTTTTGTGTAGAGATATTTTCACCTTTACCTTTTAACTTACTATCCTTATGTAATTTTTTTAGAGTTCTTGGGCTCTGTAGTCCTTTTTCACAAAAATCTACCCAATTTGTATGTGTTACATTTTTAGTACTTTTCAATTTAAAACTAAATTCTTCACCGGGAAGAGAAAGATGAATTTTTTCAACATGGACATCAGGTGAAGCTGACTGAATAAATGCTTCTAAGGGAGCAATACTTAATGGGGTTGTACTTCTGGGTCTTTCAACTGGAATGGTGCTTACTTCAAGACGTTGCTGTCTAGTAGGTAACTTAGAAAGTTCACTTTTTACAAGAGAAACAGGAATCTGAAAGTCAGATGAAGTTAGATCATCATCATCCAAAGACTCTTGTGTAAGAAGTGTTTCAGCTTCATAATCTTCTTCACTCTCTCTTCTTTTTAAATGATGCTTGTTTACATTATCATAGTCTATTTCAGATTCAGAAGAAATATGGACTTCAGTAATAGATACTTGTTGTTCTAGTTCAGTCAATAAGTCTATATTTTCTAGTCCCTGTATACTGTTAGTTCGTGGTTCAACATTTGTTGGCATAAGAGTGTTAACAAACTTGTATTCTAAAGCAAGCTCTTTCCCTAAATTCTCTGTTTTTTCTTTGGATTCAATTTCTTGCTCTTTCAGTTCAGACTCAAAACCATTGCACACATCTGTTTTGAATTCATTGAGGTTAATATTTTTCTTTTCATTTTTGGATTTTTCAATGTCTTGGCTTATAAATACAGTTTCTGCAGTGGAAATCTCTTCTGGCTCACTTTTTAAATAAACTGCTTTTGGAATAGAAATCTGTGTGTCCATATTTCCTACACACACTACAGGTGGTGGTGACTGGGAATGTGGAAAAATTGGAGAAGATTTTTTGCTTCTTGAAGGCTTTCTACTTCTAAACCTAAATATTGAAAAAAAAACTCCTTTTTCTTTCCTTTTTGAATTCTTTTCGTCTGTACTACTAGAGAGTAAACTACAGTGAGCTTTAGGTGAACCCTGAGGCGAATGACTCTGACTTCGGATACGACTTCGAAATACATCAGTCCAGGAGCTTTTATAGATTTTTTCTGAAGAATTCTTATCATCATAACCTGAGAGTATTGAATCAGCTGATAAATTTTTCCTTCTGTCTCCAACTTGCTCCAATTTTTCAGTTTTTGGTAATGAGGAAAATGATCCTGTTCTGATACTGCTGGGAGTTTGGCTTTTGGCTTCCTCACAAGGAGTTAATGTACCCTGAGAGTCAACATCACTTTCAAAATGTCTGTCAAACTCAGGAGTAACAAGGCCAGATGAAGAAGGAATACATGGAACAGACCTCAAGTCTGGTCTGGCTGTAATAGTTTTGCAAATATCTATGCACTCTGGCAACTGATTTAAGTTATCCTCACTGTCAAAGTCAGAATAGTTCTCTTTTGTCTTAGAACTTAAAGGACTTTCAAGTTCATCTGATGCCAAATCTTCCAATGAAGCGAGAGGAGCAAGAGCAGATTTCAGCTGTTCCAAAGAAAATCTTTCTTCGTTTTCTTCTTCAGTCATGGCTTATTTTAAAAACATATAAGCTGAACATTTAGATATTTTTCGGTTCCCACTACTCAAGGAAGGCTTTTCTTATAACAACCATCCTCACTCATCGTGTTATATAAACACTAAGTATCCTAAACAAAATGAAAAAAATCTATACAAATCAATCTCCTGTTTTCATTTTCCAATTTATTTACACTTTACCAAGATTTATCATCTTGAATGATAGAAACTGAGTATGAAAATATTCAAAGTACAATGTAATATTAAACAATACATAACTTCTGAAAGAACTAAAGTTAACATTTTCCTACACAGAAAATGTATTTCTAATAGATACTTTCCTCCTCTAACATAATAGCTTTCCTTGACTTGAGTTGCCCTCTATATGTGCAATTTTTGCTCAACGTTAACCTTAAGGCTCTCACCTAACATCACATGTTTACATGTGAATGGCTACATTATAGCATGCAACAACCCTCCACCAATAGGAGTGTGACACATCCTCCTTGTACACCCTCTACACTATAAAGTACAATCATAATTTCAAGATTAGGCAAAAAAAGATGCACCAGAAGTGGGGAAGATGGGTGGGAAGTGTTAGAGGAGGTAAGTAGTTATTGGAAATACATTTTCAGTGTATGAAAATCTTAACTTCTGATCCAATACTTTACTTCTTCTCACAAAATAACTAAAATCCAACATTGAAAAGGTAGAGGGACTGGTGCAAAAGTTATGATCACTCTTTGGAAGGCATCCAAAGAGAACCCATGGAGTAAGATACCCTCATATTTAGGGTCACACTCATGGCAGACTGCACCCCATCTGTACCAAGTATGTTCTTCATTCATTGTAAAGATGACATGTTGTGAAATCGGGCAGAAAAGATGCCGGTCTAATCAGTAATAGGATGTGCCAGATGGTGTAGAATGGCGAGAACACGTCAGACCACAATCGGGGTGTCAACTCCAGTCCAAAACCAGGTGTCATCAGGTATTTCTCATTTGGTCCACGGTAGGAGGAGGGTCCCAACTGTCTTCACCTCAAGCCCAAGAAACAGAAGGGAAAAGCAACTTCTATTTCAACAGCCCAAGCAGGGCACTACACAATCAACATCAGGCCATCTGGGAACCCAATATCCAGGCGATGGTAGGAAATGGAAATGCAAATGTACTGGATTAACTCCAATGCAATGTTAGGCAGTGTATGGAATTTTTTGTTCAGTCCATGGTAGGAAGAGGATCCATACTAACAACATGTGTGAGGACTTATGTTGTCTGGTCCTACACCGATCTAACACCAGACCATCTGGGAACTGACATCCTTGCAGCAGTGGGATGGGGGAAGTCAACTGGACAGGTGGACTGCATGTGGTGGATTTGTCCTGTCCAAAATTAGGTGGCATAGGGAATTTGTCTTCCAGTCTGTGGTAGGAAAAAAGTACTCACCATCTATACTGACAGAACACCACTACCCTACACTTGATTGAGTGGAAGAAGTCACACTCGGGAGGAAGCCTCCATGGTCCACCACCCCAGTGTGTAGGAACTGGTAAGTGGCTAGGATTCCCATACCCATGATGGGGGACAACACTGTAGGGAGTCTGGAGGAATGCAACACCATAAGATTTTGCAATGGGTGCTAATGAAAACCCTATTTTGAAAAGCAGGCCAGTCCCAGTTTATTCCACTAGGACCAGAGGGATGGGAAGCAATTCTGACACTGCTTTACTTATGATACTGCAAGAAACTCTCCAGCAGTCTTGTGAAACACCTCATCTCATCAGTGAGCATCATAGACCTGTAAGATCATATGGTGTTCGCACAAACTCCTCCAATGGACAATGGAAGTGAATAATCAGAAAGAGAACAAGGTGTCATATTTGGTGAGAAGGTGTGAAAGAGTCAATGTGAATATATATCCAATGAAGCAAGGCTAAATGGATCACAAACATAAAACATAGGTAAGATATGTTAGGGACAAAAAAAAAACTCAGGTTACATGAAAGACTCCCACCACCCACAACACAAAAACTGTTACCTCTCCAAGGTACTTACAGACAAAGTCACACTCAAAACCAATATAATTGGTAGGCTAGTATGAACAAAGTTGTGTCATAAAACAATGTTGTTTTAGATACTTCCACTGAAAAATACCTAAATCTGAAAAGTACACATACAAACAAAAATCCTCATTGTTACACAAGTGCCAAATCAAGAAGTGATGGTTGTGCTCTACAGTACAGAGGGAGTCATCTGTGCTAGGATAGTATATTGTACTCCTATTGGTGGAGGGTTGTTGGATGCTCATTTGCATGCTACAACACAACCATACCACCTGATTTTAGGTGGGAGCCTCAAGGCTAGTGGCAAGCAAAAATTCTACATATAGAGGACAACACAAATCAAGAAAAGTTAATATGTGAGAAGAGGTAATGTATCATATCAGAAACTGTGATATTTGTTGTTTAACAAGTACTACTAAACATGTACATACAGTATTACATTAAATAGATTATCTATATTTTCAAGACAAAGGTGACTTTTTGGTATTCACTATAAAATCAACCCATTACAAAGTATACCTCAATAAAATTATTACTGACTGCAATGTGATTGTATATAAATTATGCCTGTGAGAATAAAATGTATACTGACCTGTTCCACATAAATATTATTGAAGGAGAAAATATCAGTAGTAGAGTACGTGTAGTAAGTAGAATGTTACATGTATGTTCACACATACACAATGCACAGTACCATGCTTAAAAGTTCCAACAGAAACATAAGAAATAATCACAAGCACTATAAAATGTATGGATATGTTAGAACTAGTGAAAATTATCCTTTTATCAGATTATGATGAAACAATATCACATAATCTCTTTAATTGCATAATAATCAAAAAAGTAAACCTGTAGTAGTTTGAACTGTCAAAAAAAAATTTGCCTTATTAGCAATCGTTAACTCAGTTGGTGGAGCACTCATCTAATGTGCTAGACTCAGGTTTAAATCTAACATGGGGAAATATCAGAAAGCATGAAAAAAAAAAAAATAACTAACAGATACCTTCACTTCCAAAAAGATTAGTTAAAGTGTATCATAAAAGGCTGACAGGTAATTTTTGTTCTTATGAACCTGATGAGAAAGTAAAATGTGGAAAATAAATTGGCTTGGTCAGTAAATTTGAAATAGGTTTCAAGAATAAAGGAAGAACTTACAGTTTCTGTACTACAGTGTATGGAGCAGTGTAAACAACAAAACGACTATAACTGCAATGTACATTTTCACAACTGATCAGGCCTATTGTACTACTGTATATGGAGCAGTGTAAATAACAGAACGACTATAACTGCAGTGTACATTTTCACAACTAATCAGGCCTATTGGAGTCAGTGGGTGTTTATGATCCTACATACATGTTCATTATTTATGTTTATAACTGGGATAGATAATTCGTTAGTAATATTTCTAAACTTAGTGAAGGTATAAAATATTCTGAAAAAATTTTATTCTGTGGAAAAGGTTTCGTCTATTTAGTAGGACTGTGCAGTAAAAATCAAAACCCCACTTACAGTTTCAACAACAGTTGAAAATATTAGCAGTTTTAATTAAACTTAATTAGCTTTGGTTTAGTTATTACATATTTATAATGAGCAGTTATTTATTATACAGAGCTTATTCAACAATGTCACTCTTTATAATCACAAAATCACTTTTAGCAGGAGCACAATTGTAGTCACAAGTAATGCAACAGTATGCACTGATTTGATACACTTGGTCATAGATATTCTTTTATGTTAGCAAATAAAGCTGAACTGTTGACTTGATAAGGCACTCTGTGTGAATGAGCATTTCTGAATTTAAAATATCTGTATATATCAGATTCACAGGTATACAGGTGTATGAGCTAAACTTTTTCAGTTCAGAATTTTTTAGTAACTTTCATGTATCCCCATAAATCAGCCCAGAACATTTTTAATAATATAAGCAACATTAAAAAAAAACTTGTCCAACAGATAAAACCTGTTGTTCCAGGCAATGGGCAATATGAATTCCACACTCTTGGTTAAAATGTCCCTATCATCTACAAGAAACTGTATAGGTACTAGGAGGTAAAAATCCTAACACAAAATAGCTCAATTAATTAATAACTTTATTAATGTAGAATAGTAATAACACAAATACATTTGAATTCTTTAGTGAGGGTTAAAAATATTAAAGCTATCAGTAACTGTGTTAGTTTGGGTTCATAAATCCATTTAAATGTTCTTTAAAGGAACTTCATATGAACACGTTTTTAAGCACTTATTTTCTTATTAATACACATTTATCAATCAGTTGTCAGACAAACTATTCATTATACCTAAGTATTTTTGGTTTGCATTCATTCTTGTGAAACTACATTCATATCAGAATGCCACTATAAGCTTATCACTTATTATGTAATGAATGCACACTGCAATGTTCACTTTCTCATAAAGATTTCTTCCTCAAATATCCTATTCAGTGTTCAAAATCAACAATTTGAGGGTGTGGTGTAAGAATGTGGCTGTTTTGCATTTAACAGAAGCAACTAATTTATCTGCGAGTTATAAATGGTGCAAGGTTATGAGAACAAATGCTTACTATACACACACACCACTAGCTGGGGCTGATAAGAATCTTCAAACTGAGACAGTACTAGATACTAGAAATGTTCCTTTATTTAGTTTACACTACAAGCACAATAATGAATTATATTCTCACATTTAAAAGCAATTCATATAAACAGATATTAACTTTATTGGTGGAAGAAACTTCTCTGTCAAGGCCTATTTGATTAATATAAATAATACCAAGTTCCTGCATGTATACTTCACTGAAGCAATTCCAGAATGAATCATGTTTCATAGCATAACCTCTTAACAGGTGATGATGTTAATGGGGAGTTATCATCTATGACTTTCACTACATACAGTGTATCTATAACTTCAATCACATTTGATTGCAAAACTGGTAGTGTTAATGCTTTCTCCAGAAAACTCTGTTTCACTGTTTATAAATCACTTAAATTCTGTGTAGAAGAAAAAGGCCACATTATTTTCCAAAAATGACCTGCACCCCTCTATAGTTCTGGCTATGCCAC